CATGATGGTGCCTTGCCAGCGTTAAGAACTTGCAATGGCTTGCTGGATGAACTCGGTTTCTGCTTCCTTTGGCGGCTGCCTGCTGCCGCTAAGCAATCGGCTGCCTCGACCAGGCCATCATTGGCATGTTCTTCCAAGACGGTCTAACCGGCTCTGCATGGGGTGATTGGGTGCCGTGCTCAGAGGTGGTATGCAGCTGGATGCAAGTCCAAACATGCGAAGCTTGACAGGCACTCTACACGGCTTCGCCGCTGCGCGCCGAGGCAGAAGAGGTACTTTGCCTTCTGCCGTCGAGTATCACAGCTGTCGTTGCACCGCAGCTCAGAGATGCAACGAGGAGGCCCCCAAGCCACCGCCTTTCGATCCTGCCAAGCAGGCAGAGCCAAACCAACTCATCTCGAGGGTATGGCCGAAATTCAGAGATGTGAGCATGCCTGCCAGGTCGGAGCTATGGCGTCACTGCCTCAGCCGCTGCAGCAGAGAATCTGAAACTGAGCTGCGCGTGAAACCTTGACATGACGTCACAACGCAACTGAATTCAATGGGGTTCGACCTTCGATTCCTCTGAACCGCTTGCCAAGGCCGCTTGGTTTCTTCGACCCCGCAGGCTTTGCACAGCCTGCACAGCTTTGGCCGTGGCCACGTGCCCTTCGATCAGGCTTCAGCAAGGTGGGAGACAAGGATGGCTTTCAGAGTCTTCGTGCCGGGACCTACGGTTACGGGTGCGGCATGTTTCTTTTTGTCTTGCGACTTATGACTGCCCCGAGGCTGCTGAAATCAAGCACGGCAGAGTTGCGATGATGGCTGCATTGGGAGCCGTCTTGCTGACCTCATTGGCTTCGGCTGTTTGTTTCCTTGAGCCGGGGCGCTTGAAGGTCTTGTGTTCGGATGTCCGACTTTCGTGGCTTACCAGGAAGACAGCTGCATGAATCTATTTCGACGTACCCTGTCTGCAGTCTGACTCGATCCCTCCTCATTCACGCGGAGAGCCGCTGGACACGTTGTCACGCACCTCTAGCCGACAATCGAGATTGATTCTTCGCGCCACCCCTCGGCAAGCTTGTGCTTGCAAGGCTGCTCGCAGCCTCAAAGCTGCAAGAAGAAATGTCGATGGCGCGATGCTTGCTCTGCTTGCTCCTTGCCGAAAGCAAGGAGATGCCGGCCATGGAGCTAATGGCGGCCATGGGCCTGGCGGGGACGGAGGTCGGAAACCCGCTCATGACAGCCAACAGCATGTCTGGCATGTAACTTTGCCCCGGAGGTTTTTCGATACAACCGAGAGAATTTCGAGTTTGACCAGGTGGCCGCACCAAAGAGCTCGACTGTACCGTGGGAGGGGCAGAGCATAGCAGAGCCGTGTCTGATTCGAGTGGGAGAGCCAGGAACAGCGTTTCAGCCGTGATGAAGTCCGGGTCAAGATGCAGGCCTTCGCCGAAAGTTTAGAAGCCCGGAGTGCACGTGACGGTTGAATGTTAGTCCGTAAGGAAAGGGCCCCGCACAGGTAAGATGCGGTTTGCTTCAACCTTGCCGAGCAAAATACCGACACGGCTACATAAAATTCGCACATGGTTCTTATCATTCCTTGTGGATGTGCCTAAGCGGGATAGGTGTGTCCATTTCTCACAATGTGGCTCATGTATAGAGCGTACATAACCCTCCGAAGGGCTTACCTTGCCATGCAGTGACGCGGCGCGGAGGTCGAGCTGTTCAACCTCTTCCGCGAAGACATCCGAGACTTGGTGCTCAGGCCTGATGAGGAGCATGCCGTCGAGCCACTTAGGCAAGGCCTAGGGCTAGGCCCTTCCCACCGCGTTCGCTGCACCAAGGTAGAGATGACCACCAGCAAGATGAACCTGTATCACCTTGTAGGTGCATTATTCATAAAGATGACCCGCGGCCTTGAACTTCAGGTCTCTCATCTTTCACGCATGCCACATCTCGAAACTGGAGTGATGTTGACGCCTAGGATCTGCATTTATTTCTGCGAGGGCTTCTTTGAGGAAGGGCTTCCTCCCTTCCTTCTCTGCTCTCTGGCTGCACCCGTGTGTCTCGATCACTGGATCTCTTGTCTTCGCTTCCAGAAGCTGCAGGCTATTACTATGTGTCGCAGGCAGAGGGGATCTGGTGCTGCAGTATGCGATTCCAGCAAGAAGAGTTGCATCAGCATAGTCTGCATAGTATCAACCACGAAGAAGAGCGGAAGAGCTGCCGTCATGCGCCCAATCATCGCCAAACCCTGTTTTACGACGACGTCAGGGAAGCTCCGTTGTTTATCTCATCATGGCCGTGTGGCTGTCCATGCATGCGTCCGTGACTTCACACAGCCTTTTGGACAGCATTTGGTGGATTGCACTCTGCGAAAGACCCCGTTGTCCTAGTAACACTTCGCCACGGGCCAGTTTAAGGTTATGCTACGCGCGTCCTGACGCGATTTATCCGGTTGCCCATCCCCGGGAGCTCGCAGCTGAATGCTCCTCATCAGGCAACGAGCAAATGCCTTCGTTAGAGTTCTGCGGTTCATGCTCGTACTCGCCAGAGCGGCTTGAAGACCGTCAGCCTGCCGATCACAAAGTCTGAGCAAGGTCTTGAATGCGCGCTTCGCAGACTTTGAGAGGCAAGGCCGGCAGAAACCTAGCCGCACGGGGGAGAGGTTGTAGCAGGCCGCGAGACTTCATGTGGGAACTGGATTCAGTATCGCCCGGTGTGGCACTTGGGAACTGTCATGCAACATGTTGCAGTGATTTTGCCTGCGTGTTTTTGTCATTTTGCATCCTCGCAAAAAGCCAAGAAACCACTTATACTGGAGTTGCGAAATTTGCATGCAGCTGAAAGTTCTCACTGCATTTCCGTCGCCCAGTTCGCACGCTGCATCCTCTAATCAGAACTTCCCTCGTGTCACCGGTGTTTTAGCAATGTCGAGAAACCAAATTACAGAAACAGGCTTTGCACGAAAAGAAGGCGCTGGCAAGCCGAAATGAACAGCACCACCGAGACAGTGGAATCGCTCAATTGATGTCGATGCCTCGTGAATCCCAGCATCGCGGCCCATCCGAGGATGTTGCGAATACCCTTCTTGAACAAGGTGCTTGGCACGAAGTGTCCCTCGAGCCCTGCAGACATTCCCCGGTGTCCCGAGGCGAACAACAATTGGCAAGACCGACCACAGCTCGAGACACAGCGAGAAGGTGACTGGCCGCAATACCACTGAACGATAGGATTCTAGTGCTGTAGGTGTCCTTGCACAACCAGTGGGGTCGGAGTGAGTTGACGCCTGCTCAGCTCCGTCGGACAATTTGGGAGATGGCATCTGGGCCTATGGAGGTTTGATGAAACTCGTAACCTGTTTGCATTTGTTGTTGCGGCAGCAGGGGCAGTGTTCATGGCCAATGCAGTTTCGAGCGATGTGCGTCCTCCTTCGCCAGCTCCGCCGAAAGCCAAACATGGTGAAGCAGAGCAAAGGACGTGGCTGGTTATGAGGAAGACATCATGAAGGCAGTTTCTTGTTGGCACCCGTTTCGCAGACTTCGCTGGGCCATCCCGACAGCGAAACTGTATGTGTGGTGTCCGGAAAACACCAAAGCAGCTGAACCACGCTTGAAAGCCCTGAGATCCAATCCGAGTTTCTGGATAATCAAGCTTGGGATGACACTCTGAGGTCCACCACAGGACTCAGCGTCACATCCAGCTCTTTCGGCGTCTGCAAGCACTCTGGCAATGCTACGACGCATATGCGCGGCTCAGCTCCAGTGAAAAGCTGGCAGTGTCTGTAAGACCGAGCGTCCGTGATTTTGACCATCCTGTCATTGGCCTGTCATGCCTTAAGGCGAGTTTGCATGTCTCTGGGCGTGAGGCACGTGCTTGGATGTAGCGGTTTCACAACCACTCGCCGTGCCAGAGCTTGATGCACGGACGAGCCCAGGGTTTTGCGCGCAGAGCCGCGATGTCATGAACCCTGTAGTAAGCGCACTGTTGATTACAGGATGATGCTCCAGGGCATCTCCTACTATCTCCTCGGTGGCTGAAACGCATCAGTCGATGAGATCTTCATTTTGCCAGCATTTGCCGCATGAAGATGCGTTTGAGGCATCTGCTGGGTGCAGATCAATGCTCCATATGTGGCTGCCGTCTGCTTCTCAGACGGAGAGTGCTGCGTCCCTTGGCAAACTAGTACTTGCATTATGGTCGAGGTATGTGCAGTGGTGTTTCAGTTCTTGGCTCTGAACTTGGCCGCCCTCGACATCCATGGTGCCCCGGAATTCTGCATGACATGGAATCCTGGCCGTCCCGGCAGGCGCCAGAGACAGACATGTGAACAGGTGTCAACGACCTCTCGCTCATAGGGGCGTTGCCCAGCACCTCGACATGTAGCGGGCGGGTTTGTGTGCTCAAGCTGTCGATCAAGCTCTCAAGAAAGGTTTCGCAGGCGGCCAAGCTCAGGTCTTTGCGCCATCATGGCTCTTGCCTGCGCGCAGCGAACGCCACTCACAAGCACCTGGAAGCATCTAGCGCAGGTCGTGACGTGTTTTGGAAGACTGAGGCCCTTTGGCGAGCTGGACTCCGAGCAAACCTATGTGCCACTTGCCTGACGGAGCCGAAACGCACAACGCTGTGTTTGAAAGCTTTGAGATTCCTCACACTCGTATCTGCTGATGAAACAGCTGTCGAGGGTTACTGAGCAACACTCTGGCGAAACTCTGACTGTCGCGTCATGTCGCGATAATGTACTGATAAAGTCTGATAAAGGAATTAGAGAGCAGATGCTACAACGAGCATACTTTTCGAAGCTTGGAATTTAATAATGGTCCCAAATGATGAAACTAAGCTGGAATTAGGCATTCCTCGAACTCGATCTTCAAAATGCCATTCTGCTTTGGCACATCACCCCTGCTTACTAGATTGGTACGGTGGTCCTTGTTGCACCAAGTCCTTCGCACGTTTGTCGTGAGGCTGACGCTGATCATGTATCCGCTGGAAGTGCTGTGGTTCGAGATGCTCCACTGGCCACTCGAATTTGTGCACATAACAATAGCTCCGAAATCCTGCAGCACGCCGCCGCGTTGTAGTTGCAGGCATCAGCATCAACTAGACCCCACCACATCAGGTTGGCATCTCCTATGGGTGATGCTGGATTTCTGCCTCGACAGTTCAAGTCCGTCCTTTTCATGGATGTTCCTCTGCTGGCAAGAAGCAGATTGCCGGAGCGAGCTCGGGACAAGCAGCTTTTCGCGTCTTCGTGACGTGCGTGTATTGACGGGGGCCGGCGTGCTAAGGTCTTCAGTGACCTCAACGAATCTGGAGTGATGACGAGTGAGGAGAAGGAGGTTGTAGAACTAAGGCGCCCTGAGGCACGACGCGAACGGTACAAACCTTTGCCAGCCTTTGTCGCTTCAAGTGGAAAAATAGAAAAACTGGAGTGGGCGACCTACAATTTCAAGCCACTTGCAGGCATCCACTTGTGAGCCTGCCCCACTGACCTGCATCTGTTGCTGACTCCCCGGCAACCTCAGCCCTCACATTCGTTTACAATCTCTGAAAACGTACCTCTAACCGTGACCCTAGAGGGTGGACCTTCCCCATGTCGAGGAGGCCTCTCGAGTCCCCGCCTCAATGGACTCGATTTTGAGGGGGATTGTTTTTTTTTTGGGGGGGCACACAAAGTGAGTGGTGGTCTGCTCCACATCTGGCCATGATGATGGCCGCGAGCGTGGCATTCACTTTGTCAAGCTGCACGTGCGCTCATGAGCATGGGATACGATTGGTGCTGTTGGGGGATTCTTATGGGGTCAAGTTCCAGCCTTGGCCCCCTCCCGCCCTGTCTCCTCATGAGGTGAAGGAGCAGTTGCAACATGCGGTGTGTCACCGGAAAGCAGACAGCAACCAGTCATCTCAAGACTCAAGCCCCCTCGTCACTAGTTCCCCATGGCTGCAATGACGTAAACTGCAGGAATCGTTTGAATTGATTTGCACTTTGGGGATGGCGTGGGGGCCGGGAATCAAACAATTAACAGGTTCGCATGGCTTAAGCAACTTTGATTTTGAGTTTTGGATTTTGGGGAGCCCGGAAGAACATAATGAATTTCTTGGCACCATCACTGACACATCCCGCACCATACTCCAGCTAGTTTGATGCCGGGCCCCACACAAACCGGGTCTGCAGGCCACTGGAAATTAAATGACTTACTCACTTAGTTCCTGCCCCCCAGGCCATTTCCCCACACCAGTAAATAGTTTACACACAATTAGACCGTTCAAACTCCAGGAGAAGTGGACGCTTGGTAAAACTGCCTGGGTGCAGACGGGCGAGTGGGAGGGGGGGGGGGGGATTCTGGGTAGGGCGTACAGCCCATGGCATCGAACCATGGGGTCGGAGATCCGAAAGACAGGTTCGCGGGCTCGAGTGAGGGACCAAGCTCTAGAAGCATATTGAGAAGCTATGTCGCCCATTAGAAATCCACACGTGCCCGTGCATCAATTCGGGCGTGGTGACTTAGAGTTTGAGCAGAGAGGGTGGTATATAGGACGCAGCAAATAGGATAAATAGGATTCGAATGCAACGTTTTTCACGATGCAGGTGCAAAAGTCA